GGCTCCTGGTTCTGGGAGGTCCATGAGTGCATTGGTCACTTTTGGCAGAATTGGCGCAGGAATTGGTGTGCCAGGGTGGGGTGGCATGGCACCATGGGATCCATTTCCCAAATTAGCCCCGTGTGGTCAGACAGGCCGTGTGACCGCAGCGGTGGCAGCGGTGCCATGGCCCCTCCTGACCTCCCATTGCTCTCCTGCCAGCTAAAATAGACACATCTCATTCCAGACTGCTTTTTATACTTCAACAGCATCTCCGTAATAAAAAAGCATCTCTTTTTTCACATAAGTATCTTTGTTTTTAACAGATTTTTTTTCCAAACAAATAAATTTCCTTCCAGCTTTTCACAGCACCTCCAAGAAAAGTCCAAGACCTCCATAAATCCAGCCTGGTCTCACTGACATCTGAGTCCTGCATAGAGACAAAGACACTAATTATTTTTTATTAGCATCCACCCTGCTTTTTATTGAACCTTTAGCAAAGGTCATCAACCGTTTTTTCCATGGGTGAAGAGAAAGTTGGGTTAGAAACAGGCATCCTGCCAGTAGCCCTGTAATGAAGGGGAATGTAATAAAGCCAGGGATTGACAGTTTATGTGTTGGTACTGAAGGAAATGGAGGTGTGGAAGAGTATTACAGGGAATCTTTCTAGTCATATCTTCAATTCAAACATCAGGGGAAATGCTTCAGAATCGGAGATTTATGAATTCGTAGTAAGCAGTTTCCCGGCATGTAAACAAATCTCGCCGGGCTGTTTTAGGAAGGTGGGTTTGGGCAGCGGAGTAATCATTTTTATTATTCTGATTTTCCAAATAGAAATGGACATATATGATAAAAATGTCAGGCGCGCTCTCCACGTCAGGCTCCTAACAGGATTACATGTCAGCTCTTAATGTCTCGCTCTGTTTTTCTTTGCCATGAATGGCTGCATTATTGCTCACAGGAACTTCACTGTAATATATGGTAAGAGACAAGTAGCTCTTTATGGCCAGTGATTATTCGGTTTGAATGAAACCTGTGATTTATGTCCATTTAACTGAAAAGCCTTGTAAATTCCCAGTGCTGCATTTTTCCTCAATAGAGAATGAGTCAAGCGAAAGTGACAACTAGGTTGGCGTGGAAATGTGCAGTGCATCGTGGTGTTATATTTAATATACCTGACATGAAAAACGTGCGCACACCACGCAGTCACCTTAAGTAGGAGTGAGAGTGACATTCGGCCGTGCCGGTGCCGCCCCGCCGGGCTTCCCTCGCCCAGACAAAGGCCACTGGAGTGGGGGCCATGCGCCACCGGGGCCCTCGGCGCCTGCCCGGCACCCGGGGGGCGGTGGGGACGCTGGGGACACGCAGGTGCCGGGATGGCGGTGGCAGTGGCGCAGAGCGTGGGGCGCTGGGGGCTGGCGGCAGAGCCAGGCTCCCTCTGCACACCTGGCACCTGCCTGCCCTGCGCTCTGTGCCGTGCGCTCGGCACCTGCGCCCTGCAGGGTGGGAGAGGGGGCAGAGACCCTGGGGACTGACTTGGCCACCGTGGCTGAGGAGTTTGGGGGGCTGCAGCAGGGGCTGGGGTCACTGGGCAGGGCCAGCACTGCTGTGGGCACAGGGATCTTCCCCCAGCCTGCAGGAGCAGCTGGCAGGGGGACACAGGGGAGGCCTTGCCCTGTGCCCCCCTTGCCTCTCCCAGGTCAGCCCCGCACCTTGTTGGCAATATTGCTGTGCTGGCGAGGACACTACTGCACAGTTCAGGCACTGCAGGTTTCTAATCTGCTTATTTATAATTCAAAAGCTTGCCCATATATTAATGAACCCTTAATGAGCTGTTGAAAATGCCTGAATTACAGTCAGATTATTAAACTCCAACAGCCCCTGTAATCATACCATTTGAGTGGGCTTTAGGTACTTTTCATATCTGCAGCTTTGTGTTGTGAAGGAGATGGGTTTTTTCGAAGAAAGCTTTGTAATAATTTTGACCTGCAATTTATTTATTGGCCTCTGAATGCAGTAGTCTATGCAGATGCTCTCGTCTATTATGTGTGGGGGCAGGTGCACAGCATGTTGAAAGACAGCTAATTATGATTTGCTGAAAGATATGCTAAAACTGTGGTCTTAGAACAAAGCCAAGTTCATTGTTAAACAATGTTTTAGTGTCTGTTTATGTGGTTTGTCTAAATCACAGAGATACTGAAATGCACGGTGCAGTTATAAGCAGATCCCAAGCAGTAGCACACTTGCATTTTGTTAACCCCCGAGATGCTGGTGTCCCTGGGCTGGTGGGTTGGAGTCCTGCACAGCCCCAGGTGCCCCCCAGTCAGTGGTGGTGAGGGGCTGGACGTGGCAGCCCCGGCCCCGCGTGGGGTGAGTGAAGGGCCCGTGCTGGCTGTGGGGTGGCCGTGGTGATGGCTGTGGTGGTGGCTGTGGGGTGGCCGTGGGGTGGCCATGGGGTGGATATGGTTGTGCCCATGGAGTGGCTGTGGTGGTGCCCGTGGGGTGGCCGTGGTGGTGGCTGTGGTTGTGCCCATGGAGTGGCCATGGTGGTGCCCATGGGGTGGCTGTGGTGGTGCCATAGTGGTGCCCATGGGGTGGCTGTGGTGGTGCCCATGGGGTGGCTGTGGTGGTGGCTGTGGTGGTGCCCATGGAGTGGCCATGGTGGTGCCCATGGGGTGGCCATGGTGGTGCCCATGGGGTGGCCGTGGTGGTGCCCATGGGGTGCTCATGGGGTGGCTGTGGTGGTGCCATAGTGGTGCCCATGGGGTGGCTGTGGTGGTGCCCATGGGGTGGCTGTGGTGGTGGCCGTGGTGGTGCCCATGGAGTGGCCATGGTGGTGCCCATGGGGTGGCTGTGGTGGTGCCATAGTGGTGCCCATGGGGTGGGCGCTGCCGTGAGGCCTCTCCCGTGCAGCGCCGGTGGCGCCGGTGGCTCTGCTGGGAGTGATGTATTGTTGTGTTCTTTCCCGTCCCTGCTGCACCTTAATTCCTCGATGCATTGAAAGGTCAGTGAGCTAAACAGTAATAAACTCACAGGGTGATAGAGTGAGGGATAAAAGAGGGAAACAATGGCCACCGAGTGTGAGCTTATATGTCAAAAAATACATATATTACCAGTGTATTCAAATCAAGAGTAATTTATAAAGGCAGGTGCTGGTAGGAGCAGCTTTATTGCCGGCCTATAGCAGAATGCTCCTGTGTGCTGAGGGGCCTGGAGATGCTCTGGCTCCTTCCCAGACAACGTGGGGAGTGTTCGACCTGCAGCCAAGGGGCTGCTGCTGACGAGCCACGTGTCTCACTGGTGACAGAGTTCATCAGTTTTGCAGGCCCCTGCCCCCAGGGACACCAGACACTATTAGTTGTGCTGATCTGCTTCATATAGTTCATAAGGAAAGCTCCGAATTAACACACAGCTTAATTCTTGTTAGAATCAGCTAATCAACTCGTGGCTTTGCCATTCAAATGAATGATGTGTCTCACTGAGGGGCAGGATAAATGTTGTGTCCCCACACACACTCTGTCATCCCTTTGCCTGTGGGTGTCCGCGCTCCTGCGCTCCGGATGGGATGCTCTGACGTGGGAGCATGTGTGTGATGAACACAGGGTGCCACCCCTGTGCCCCCAGCCCCGAGACACGCTGCCTCGCGTGCCAAACACCTGAGTGCCTTCGTCATTGTCCCCATGGCCGAGCTTCCTCCCGTTGTGCTTCAGACCCTGGTCAGCTCCTGCGGCCTCAGTGCAGCATCAGCTCCTGCTGCTAAACCTTGGGGGCTGCTCACTCACTGAGTCAGGTTCATAGACAAGGGCTGGGGCTTTGGAATATTGATTTGAGCCTGGGTGGACAAAGCCCTCGCTTTGTTGATGGAAGTACATGATGCAGAAATCACTGCAATTGTACCAAATTATTTTGCTGCAGGTTTTGGCTAGGCATCTGCATTTGGGAGCAGAGTGGGACCGTGATGGGATAGTGGGAAGGAGATGAGTTCCATAGTGAAAGCAGAAATGCAGCTGGGGAATAACAGCTGGAATAGAGCACAGTAAACATGGACTGAGAAAGGGTCCAGAAGCTAAAACGAAAAACAACAGCAGAAATCATTGATGAGAAGGGAAGGAAAGCTTGAGTGGATTAAAACCAGGATGTTATTGAACATTCTGACAGCAGAGCAGAGGAGGAGAGTGACAAACAGGGGAACAACTCACCAAGGAAATCACCCCTGTGTTACAGCACTGCGGGCCAGGAGCTGTGCCAGGGCAGTGGGGCCTGGCAGACGAGGGAATGAGGGATGGGTGCAGCACTCCCTTGGCCAGGCACCACCACCCCTGCTGCTGCAGGCACTCCCAGGTGCGGTGCCACCTTCCCTGGCTGCAGCATGGGTGGCCTGGGCTGTCCCCAACACGTGTGTGCCAGCTCAGGGACACGCCAGGACAATGTGTGGTATCATCAGCTTGCGCCTGTGGACCTCTGAACAGGCAACAGAAATAATTTAAAGAGATGATGAGACATTTTTATTATTCCCATGAAATTATATGGAATTATAGTTTTAAATGAAGGTGACAGGTTTAAAATGTGTATTTTAGAGCAAGATTAATGCCTTGTGCTTTCTTGAGTTGGAAAGTTGGCCAGTGGGGGGGTCATCTCCCACTGTGTGTCCTTCTTGAGACAGTCAGTGTGGAATCCTGTGCTGTCCCCTGAGTGCATGGAGCACACTGCTGGTGCCCAGGTCCATGCCTGGCAGCTGTGTGTTGCTGGCACAGCTGGCACAGCCTACACCAGTTCCTGCTGTGTATGGGAGCAGAGAGGGGCCTGTGGCACTGCCAGACTGCATCTGATGGGGCTGGCTGGTGTGCTGGGGCCATGCTGGGGCCATGCTGGGGCCATGCTGGGGCAGGGCTGTGCCCATGGCCCCGGGCAGGCGGGTGTCACGGAGGGCTTGTGGCAGGCGGGCAGCGAGCGGGCACAAGTCGGGCAGATGCAGAAGTACTGACTGTGTTTTCTCTCTTGTTCTCTCTTTTCTGCCCAAGGTTTGAGCATCCGAGGAGCCCAGGAGGAAGACCCTCCCGATCCTCAGCTAATGAGACTAGACAATATGCTTCTGGCAGAAGGAGTCTCAGGTCCGGAGAAAGGTGGGGGATCGGCGGCAGCAGCTGCAGCCGCAGCAGCCTCTGGAGGGTCTTCAGATAACTCTATTGAACACTCAGATTACAGAGCCAAATTGACCCAGATCAGACAAATCTATCACACAGAGCTGGAGAAATATGAACAGGTCAGACATCAGCCTCTCAGTTGTTCGTGTACCTGACACTGCTCTCCTCTGCTTGCCAGTGCCCACCACTGCCCACTCTGGACCACAACCCTTCCTCCCCTTCCCCACCCCTCTGCCCAGAGAGAGCCACCATGGCAGTCTGTTGTCTGTTGGGCTCCAAGGAGCTGCTGGCTGGAGCCAGGACGCATGTCTTGCATGTCTGAGTGTTTTCTGTTGTCTGTAACTGCACAAGAGCAGCACCCAAGCCCGTGTTTCTCCCCTTTGCCCAGCGCACAGAAGGCAGAGAGGAGGAGAGATGTCTGTCACTCAGTGCCACCCTCTGCCCTGGTGAGGTCTCACACAGCTGGGTCTGGCAAGCTGGGGGGCACAGGCAGACAAGGGCTGCTTTGGCCATCTCAGCCCACAGGCTTCTGGAGCAGGTGGCAGGATACTCTGGCACAGGACTTGGCCACAGCAGGTCAGCTGGAGAGGTCTGAGGAGAGTGGGCAGTGAGGCGTCAGCAGAGCACCTGGCCCAGGCTTGGGGACAGAAACTAGGGAAATCCTGGTTCAGGCAGATGCCAGCACAGTGTCTTTGTTTGGAGTGAAGAGCATGCTGCAGAGATCTGTAGGTTTGTGTTCACCACTGGGACCTGGTGACCCAACACATTGGGCACTGAGAACACTTGCCACATGCTGCCAGGTGCCAGCAGCACCGTGTGTCTCAGGTGCCAGTGGCACTGCCTTGTCTGTGCTGTCTCTTCCACTGTGTTGTTCAAGTGGAGAACAAATAACTGAGCAAACACCTGTCAGGGTCTGTGTACAAATCTGCTGTTCTCCCCTGACCCCAAGGCCCAGCAGTCCTGGTGGAGCCCCGAGCCCTCCTTGCCCTGCCAGGTGCAGCTGCAGTGTGGGATGGGGGTGGCTGTGGCATGAACCTGTCTCCTACAGGCACAGCACACAGGCTGCAGGCAGATCTGGGCCACAGAGGCAGCAGCTCCGTGCTCGCAGCCGCTTCCTGGCAAACATCCTTGGACTCTAATAAGTTTAATGACGTGGGGGAAGCAGGAGCATTTTTTTGCCCTGTAGCTCCATTTACAAAGGTTTCAGCTGAAATGTCACAGCCGTCCGTCCACACCACAGGAAATTTTGGAGGATGCTCAAATGCTGCTGGAGCAGGAGAGAGAGGTAGAGCAGAGGATGAGACATGCCTGCTTCCCCACGGATCCTGACACCCAGCCACGTCTGCTCAACAGACATATGATGATTTCCCCAGCCTGGCAGCAAACTGTCTCCTGCTGGTTTGTCTCACTGCAGTGCCCGAGAGGCAGCCAGGGCTTGGCATCTGAGCCTCTGGCGCCACAGGTTCTGGGAGGCAGGAGGCTCCTGCAGCGGGGAGCCCGTGCTGGGCACCCGCCCGCACCGAGAGCCGCTCCTGCCATCCTGCCCAGCACGGGCATCCCCCGTGCCACGGCAGCAGGAACCAGAGCGCCTTCCTGGAGACGCTTCCCAGGCAGGCTTTGATCCTGATATTTGTTGCCAGTCAGGGGAATGCACTCAGGAAAAAAAAAAAAGGCAAGAGAAATGGAAAGTGTGTCACGCCATCACCCAGTGCTCCCTCGCCGGGTGCCGGGAGAAATGGCCACGCACAGGCAGCGCCTTCCATAATTTACAGCTCCTATAACAGAGATGACATATTGAAAGCTATCTGCTGTAATTACACTGAAATACATTTTTTGCTGTAGGCAAAAGTACTGTAAGGGTCCCAGGCCTCCTGAAGCAGCTGGGAACCCAGTTCCCAAGTTCACAGATGTCTCCTGAATTCACCCCGAATTGGGGCGAGGTGTGGCAGCTCAGAGCCACCACCAGCCTCACAGAGCACTGGCTGCCACCCTGTCCCTCAACATTGTTTTGGGCCATTTCCTCTCTTTTTCCTGTGCACTCGTGATGAAGCACTGAGGCAGCAGGAGCATCCCTGCTCCTACAAGGTTTCTGAGCAGGTTAACAAGGCCATCACTTATAACCTGACATTATTAATAATGTCTCAGGCACCAAGCAGAGGCCTGAAAAATAGTCCTGGAAAAGGGATCAAGTAGCTTGGACGCTATAAATAAACAAGAGAAACAAGACAAAGCATCAGAGTCTTCTGAGCTTCCTCCCACTGTGCTGTGTGAGGCAGCTCTGCATAGGGGAGGTGCTGGTGGAGATGAATTAAACCCAGGCTCTCCCAGCAGTTGTACCCAAACCAAGTCCCATCAGGCAAGCTGAGTAAAGTCAGAGAAAGGTTTTTGCTTCTTGAAAGCAAGAAACTAATTATTGCTTTTCAAAGTCCAGTTTTTGAGACGAAATCCCTTATAGAAAAGACATACCTGAAAATATTTCTAATGCAACAGTTGCCAGTTTTATTGTGCTTTAAAATTGAATACCTGGGATCTGAAAAGAAGGGGCCTTGTGGCAAACTGTGTGCCTGGAACACCCATCCAGTGCCAAATTCTTGGGTTCAGCTGTATTTTGGAACAATCAGAGCTGCTGCCTGACCTCAGGGGCAGAGCTGCTGCATTCTGGTGCCTGTGTCCCCTTCCCTTCTGTGCAACATTTCCCGGTGAGCCAAAGCTGGTGTCATCGGTCAGAGGGCTGGGCCTGAACTTCTGCATGCCTGGGTTGTCCCCTGGAGAAAGAAAGAGTGTGCTGGTGGGAAGTGAGGGTGAGAAATGTCCAAGTCCTTCCCCTGGAGCTCGGGGAGCCCTGGCAGACCGGGGCTGGCAGGTGCTGGCACAAGCAGTGGCTCAGTGGTGGTGAGCGAAGGGCTCTGCACCAGGGCTGCCTCCAACGGGTGCTGCACGGATGTAAATTAGCCTGTAATTTACTTTCAGTAGTGTAAAGAAAAAAAATCACTTTGCCTGAAGTGTATGCATCTTTCTTAAGGGTGTACCCAGATTTTAATTATCTAAATGTAAATACTTAACGAATTTTACTTAGAGTAATGAGCTAAAGTGCACACTACATAAATGAGATGTTCTAATTAATCATGTATGAACTACTGGTTTAAAGAAAAGCTATGTGAATTCTGCGAATGTTGGGCTATTGCCAAATTGCTAATCAGCATTTGCATTCATAGATGGCTTCACTTAATAAGTTGTGAGACGTTCAGCAAATGTTATAGGAAATTATGAGTTTTAAGATGCATAAACTTTTCACTTTTAACTCCTTCCATCGCATAATCTGTTGAAATGTTGGAGAATCCTTGAAAATGTTGTTGTCAGACATATTACGTACATATTTTGCAGCCTGGTTTGAGAGGGAAGAGGGGAGCTAGCAGAGTTTTTGTCAGGTTCCAGCCTGCAAAGGGAAGTCAGGACACCAGCATGTGTGGAGGCTCGGACCAGGGGGATCCTGGTGGTGGCCCTCAGGAGCAGGGCTGTGGTCACTGGGCTCCCCTGGCTGCCCCAGGACAGCTGCAAACCTCCTGGACAGGGTGGGATCCTGTGGCCACACATGTGGAGGGGACAGGGCCATGTGAGGGGTCCCCCTCAGTGCTGCCTTCCCCCAACAGCCAGGTCAGAGCTTGTGTCCTTGTGGGCAGCACAAACCCACATCTGAGCCTCTTCTTCCTCCACAGGCATGTAATGAATTTACCACTCATGTCATGAACCTCCTCAGAGAACAGAGCCGGACACGTCCCATTTCTCCCAAGGAGATTGAAAGGATGGTGGGCATCATTCATCGAAAATTCAGCTCCATCCAGATGCAGCTCAAACAAAGCACTTGTGAAGCAGTAATGATTTTAAGATCAAGGTTCCTTGATGCCAGGTAAGGCAGAGGCAAGTGCCCTGTTTCTTTCTGGGGGGAAGCAGTAATTTCTGGGCAGCCCAGGAGAGCCTGGCCATACTGGGAGTGTTGTCCCAGGTCAGCAGGGATGGGTGGGAGAGGCTGCTCTATCCCAACAAGAGCCTTCATCCACAGCTGCTGTGCAAGGGACTCCTGCATGGTAGGACTTCAAAAGCAACAAGGTCTTTTCTTCAAATTTTAGTGCAAAGACTGGGCTTGTTTTCCCCACCTTGGACACCTGCACCACTGTTGGAGCTCAATGCCTGTCCCCAGGACCCACGGTGGCCTGAGTGGGCTGCTTGCTCCACAAGCTGCCAGGAGGCAGGCAGATGAGGATTAGGAGGGGGGTTTAGGCACAGTCAGAATTGTTTTGAAGCCTGATGAGGTGGGAGAGTGTTCCCCAGCCCCATCCCCTTCAGAGGGCTCCTGTCCTCAGAGCAGGGCCTGGCAGAGCAGGAGCGGAAAAGGGAGGAGCAGCAGGCACTACACGGAGCCTCCCTCCTCCAGCAGCTCACGCTTCACACCTGAAAGCTGTGAGGAGCTAAACAAGACCAAAATAATGTTATTAACAAGGAGGTCACTGGCAGGTGTGGGAAATCAGGGTAATTGCAGGCAGTTGGAGGAGATGTCTATGGAGAGCTCCAGGAACGCAAAGGTAGAGCCTGCAGATGTACATTTTAAAGTGATTTCTTTAAAAAGGAGGAAGGTAAATAAGGCAAAATGAGCGGAAGCATAGTAATGAGATAAACAGAGCTCTGGGGAGGGAGCCTGCCTGCTCCAGGATACAGTGCAGTTAGCAGCACCGTGGTGCTCGGCGAGAGCGCGCTGGGGATTGCGCTCGGCTGCCGGCTGGCCTGGGGCGCCGGCGGTGATTGCAGCAGCCCTGGGGGAAGGAGCTCCAAGGAAATGTTTAACGGGAGCCTTCCAGAGGATGTTCTGCTGAAGGAGAGCAGCCGCTGGCACGGAGGGTTGGCACTGCAGCTGTGCAGGGGCTGCCCCACGGCGAGGGCTGCAGGCTCCTGAGCTGGAGCAGGGGCAGGTGCTCTCTGCAAGGCTCCAGCCAGGTGACACCCTGGGGCTCCAGCCAGGTGACAGCCCTGGGGCCTGTCCCATGCGGGCCAGAGCCTGGGCCCCGTGCAGCCCATGGCAGGAGGGGGCACAGATGGGTCTCGCTCACAAAGCCCTGAAATCCACTTGCTGTTGGAAGCCAATTAGCTCAGGGAGGCCATGTGAGGACACACCAGCACGGCTGCCCCATCCTGTTGTACCGTACTCACCCCAGGGAGCTGTGCAGGGGCCCAGCTGACCTGTGCTGAAGGGAAGGAGGGGAGGGAGGTCTGCCAGGCTGCAGCTGGCACAGAGGGGCTCTGTGGCTGGGAGCTTTGGGCTGGGCTGTGTACCTGGCTGTGGGGGAGCCACCAGGGAGGCTGCTGCCTCAGCACCTGCCTCGTCATTTCTCCTACAGTGTGTGAACATGGCCTGTGCTCCCATGGGAGGAGCCCTGCAGGGAGGTGGGGATGTGAAGCCAGAGCAGAATTCAGAGCCCCCTGGGGCTGGGTGCGGGAGGTGGTGCTGCTCCCTCCCATGGTGCTGGGGAGTCCAAAGGGGTCAGGGTGCCAGGACAGCTCTGCTGTGTTGTTCTGTGCTGTAGCAGAGGCTTTGAAATGAAGGCTGCTGCTCCCCATCCAACCAGGGACCTGCTGGCATCTGGAGGAACAGTGGTGTTTTCCTTTTCTCATTTCAGACGGAAAAGGCGTAACTTCAGTAAACAAGCCACAGAAATCTTGAACGAGTATTTTTACTCCCACCTCAGTAACCCCTACCCCAGTGAAGAAGCCAAAGAAGAGCTGGCAAAGAAATGCAGCATCACGGTATCACAGGTAAGCGGCAGGGAGGACCCCCTGTCCTTGCAGGGTGTCATTGGCTGCAGCTGCTTTCCCTGTGAGCCAAAATACCTGTACAGCTCAGACTGGTGTCCTGCTCAGGCTGATGACACCATCGAGTTTGCCTTCACCAGGCAGCTCAAAGAGCAAAACACCTCTCTGGCATTCCACATGGCCTGTATGTTTGCTAGAAACCCCAATTATTCTCCCACAAATCTGGCTTGCACAGCTTGGGGAAGGGCCTGAGCTTGTGTGGCAGGGAAATGCCCTGCAGTCTCCAAGTTCTCCTCTCCTGGTGAGGGCTGGTGTGCTGGCTCCTCCCTGCTCCCTCGGCTCCCTTATCAATATTTCAGGTCTTTGAGAGGAATGGTGCCTGCGGCGTGTGTGTTAACTATTAATGATTGCAGGCTGCACTATTGGCATTATTAGCAATGCAACCTTTAGCTTTATAATTAAGACCTGAGTTGAGATTTACTTTATAGGCCTCCATTGAATGCATGAAAAATTCAGGCACTTTATTGAAGACTTTCAAATGAAAGTCTGCCCAGCTCCTCCAAATTTGGAATTACTTGACTTTGGCTGCCCCCCAGCACCAGCCCTGGCAGAACTGCCCCAGGGCACGTGTGAGTGCCTTGCTGTCTCCTCGCCTGTTCCTTGGCACGCAGCACATGCCCCACTCCAAACGGGGTGGCAAGGGGCCGTGCTCGGTGCCAGGGGAAGGTATGGGCTGGGGAGGGAGGCAGTTTCTCCCAGTCCATTTACAAACAGCTGTGGTGATGGGCAGAAGTTTTTGAGGGAAATCCAGCACACGGCTTGTTCCCTCTCACACTGCTCCTCCCTTGCCCTTAGCATCACAGGAGCACTGCAGCCCCTGTGGTGGCTGCTAGGCTGCTCTCAGTGCCCTCAGGCATCCCTGCAGCTGCTGGGGGTGCCTGGAACCACCAAACAGCCTGAGAGCACACGAGTGCCAGGGCACTGTGGTCTGCAGCCTTAATCCTGCTGCTGGTTCCAGTCCTTGGCACGAGATGCTTTGTGGCAATTCCTTCAGTAAGTGGTGTCCAGAAATCTTCAGTGTGATCCAAGGCAGCCTGCTGTATGTTTAGGAGAGGCCATGCCATCAACACCAACTCAAACAAACCAAAAGTTCTTCAGTTTTGGTTAATGTAGTTGGGCAAGATGACATGTGAAAAAGCCCACCAGACCTGCTGAAAAGCTGTTCCCTCTGCACCCAGTGCTGAGTAGTGCCTGGCAGGAAGAGGCTCAGTGATTCCTTGGTGTGGACAGATAAAAAGACAGATCCAGATAAGGCTGAAGTGACTGTAGGAAATGAGATGGAACATTTGAGAAGCCATAACTGATTGCTTCTAGTGCTAATAGATCTGATTTCTTTCTTAATTGGTTGTTTGATAAGATTTAATGTATATGCTGTAGAATGAAATAAAAGGCAGGCAGATGGTCCAGCAAGCCAGCAGTGGCAGAGAGCCTGTGACAGGAATATAGGTTTGTCTTTTTAATATTTGATACGGACATGAATTAGTTGTTCCTTGATTCCATTAGGAAGTCTGAGTGAGTGATGGGAGTATCTGCATTGTGCCCTCCATATCACTGCATCCAGCAACCTCAGCCTTGCTGGTGACATTGCCAGCCTGGTCCAAGGGCAGTGCTGCCCACCCAGCCTGGCACCAGGGATGCAGGGCTGGGCCCTTGGCACGGCTGGAACTTTGCTCTGGCAAGATGTTATAAATGACTTGGAAAAACTCGAGTTGATATGGTAAAGCCTGGAAATGGGGCCATGTATCATGTAATGAGAGAGGAGCATGTATGAGAGAGAGGGAGTGCCTGTGATCAGCTGGTTGCTTGAGTTCCTGATGGATCTGCTGTCACAGCTAGAGAGCATGAATACCATGGGTATTCTAATCTTGGATTTCCAAAGGCACTTCCAGAGGCTGCATGGCAGTACTGCAGGGTTAGTTGGTGTTTTGTAGGTCAAACTGGGCTGGAGGTGTCTTTCTTTTGCTGAAAAGGGTGTATACTTTTGAGGCCATGTAGTAGAAGAGCTCTGAGCAGGCACTACAGAGCAGCCCCCCACACTGCTCTGGTGACTGACAGCAGAACTCAGAGGATGCAATCCAGAACTCAGAGTGAATTGAGCAGTCACTGAAACCCTGGCAGGAGCAGCATCACAGGGGACAAGCAATGGCATCCCAGCAAGTGCCTGAGCTGCACCTCGCTCAGGGCTCCATGGAAGATCTCTAAGTGTGTGTATTTTCAGCCTTGACCAGGTGTCCCTTGGACCTTGCCGTGCCTGTCACCATGCCCCATTTACCTCCTGTGCTGCAAATACCCCGGAGGGCCAAAGAGCTGGAAAAAGGAATAAATAACATTAAGGGATGGCTGTCCAAACTCTGGAGCTGTTGGCTTGTCTCTGATGAAGAGGCTTTGTCCTTTCCCTGGCTGAGGCAGGCTCCTCTGTAGCCTCTCCTAACGATGATCCCAAGTGTTTCTCTCTTGTACTGTCAGTGCCTTGTACACGCTGGGGGCAGATTCATGGCAGAACATTTTCTCCCTCAAACACTTAATTAGTGAGTGTTTTGGGTCATCCTCCCCCCAGATTAGGCTGCTGACTGGAAATCCTGCTGCCATGGCACTTTACTGAGCTGCAAAGAAAATTGTCTCCCAGAATCGTTTCATTGCAGGTGGGAGATCGATAGTTTCAGTTTTGATATCAGTGTTTAAAATAATATGTAGAGAAGGTTTTTCAAGAAAAGCATAAAGACAAACTATTTGTTAAGATGAACACCTCACACAATTTCATTTTTAAGAGTGCGGAAAAGGTAATTCTGGGGAAAAAAATGTCCTTAGCAGAGAACATTGTCGGCTGTAATTTAGAGCCACCCCATCAGCACACGTTGGAGGGAGATAAACTGTATTGTCTGTTCTCCCTCCCATGGCTGCGAGGCTGATGTTTTATACTTTTGCAGATGAGCTCTTCCAGGGTGTCACAAATGACCATCAGTCCATCACAGGGGCTGGAGAGAGGGCACAGCCAGTGCTGAGAGCGAGGCACTGGAGTACAGCAATAACATTTTTCACCGCTTCAAACAAAAGAAGGATGTGGTTGACAAGGGAATATATTTAACATTGTTTTAAAGAAAGGATGCAGGAGCTGGTTTCCAGCACCCCTCTGGCCCCTGCTGCTTCTGAGTGTTTCTGTGAGCAGGTGGACAGGGAAAACTGTGGATGGAGGGGCTCTTACCCCTGGACTTCATGTGGGAAGCAAGGAAAAAAGCTGCAGCATAATGAAATAGTTCTGGAGGTAAAACTCCTGGGTTTAGATCACAGATCAATGTTGTAATTGTGCAACATTGATTTTTAACATTTTCTGGTTTGTACCGTGTTTTAGGTGTGGAACACAGACTGTGTGCTACAGCCATGGAAACACAGTGGAAAGATTTCCATGAATCTGCAGCTCCCCAATTCCAGCAGCAATGCTCTGTGTCAGCTGCGTCTTTGCCGAGTGAGCACTGATTTATCCCAGGAAATCACCCACTCTGGGGGCATGAGACAGGCCTGCCCCATCCCAAATCCCACATTAGGCATCTTGATGATTTCAGTAATAATTTATTGTCTTTTTATTTAACGTTGCAATTAACATGATAAATAAGTGCAACAGTATTGTTTGAAATGTAATATACAATTAAGCCCAATTAATTAATTGGCCTTCAATGATCAGGAGGAGAAAGATGTTCATTGTTTTTTTTTATGTGAAGAGATAGTTTGTTTTAATGAAAAATGTGTTGTGAAGCAGCTCACAATGGAGACAACTTCCATGTTTGGGGTGAGCACAGGGTTGGGTGAGGAGCTGGGTCCCGGGGAGCCCAGCACCGGCACCCAGGTCTGCCCTGGGACCACGGCAGTGCCAGCAGCACGAGCCAGGTGAGGTGTGCTCCAGGTGGGCAGGGATCCTGAATCCTGCCTGGCACAGCCTGCTGGAACAGTGCCCTGGCCCTGTCCTGGAGGAGTCCAGCTGACCATGTCAGCCATGCTCTCCCAGCTGCAGCCGCAGCCCCTGGGTGCCCCTGGCTGTCCCTGGCTGTCCCTGGGTGCCCCTGGCTGTCCCTGGGTGCCCCTGGCTGTCCCTGGGTGTCCCTGGGTGCCCCTGGGTGTCCCTGGCTGTCCCTGGGTGTCTCCACGTTCCCTGGGCTGGGACACGCTCTGCCCTGCACTGTGTCACAGGAGCACAAAGGGTCCTTGGGCAGAGGGTATGGGGCAGTGACTGTGGCACCCCTGGGCTGCTGCAGCTCCTCTGGCAGCCCCGAGGCCGGGCTCAGTCTGAGGAAGAGTTGAACATTTCTGGATATTCATTTAGATGTGGTGTGCGGGTTAAACATAACGTACGAGCACTGCTCCTCTCATTGCTTCCAATTAAACCTTGCTTGTTAGTTTAACCTCTAGGTAATCCCATCAAACAATTGATGTCAAGGAAACACTGCCCACAGTGGCTCTGGATGAGTGGCCATTAATTTTAATTGCCTTGATATTAAAGATTAAGAAGTATTGGGACTAGCAGAATGGAAACGATCTGATGTCAAGCAAATCCACTCGTTGAGGCTTCCCCAGGCTGCTGGTGATATTAAAATTTTACTGTGAGAATTAAATAAACCTTTATTAGTGATGGCTGTTGTTTGATTGGTCCAGGGGCGTGCATAAACAGAGGGGTCTTGTGCACATCCGTGGACAATACGGTTGATGTGCAGAGATTCCTCAATTATGATACTGTTAATAAAGCATAATCTGATTGTACACAATAATTATTTGCTGGGTTTCATTAATGTATTATTGCTTCTCTGACTGACAAGGTGATATTAAGTGCAATATATAGAATATGGTGGAGTATTATCAGGGGAGCAGGATGTATAAGGTGCCTTCCATATTACTGGTAAAGGCCAGAGGTTTTCCATTAATTGTGGTTAAACAAAAGCCTGTGCTGCATCAAATACAGCAGGATTTGGCTCATGCCTCAGCAGGATCCTGAACTGGGTGCTGTGACAGGGCCCCAGCCCCTGCCATGCCCTGTGGCTGCCTGATAACCACTGGGCTGTCACTGGTCCCTTCCCCTTTACTGCTGGAGCTGTTCTTTTATTGTCTCTGCTGTGTTGGCCATTGTCCATGTTCCAAACTGGGTTTGTTATTTAGGAGCTCTGTTACAGCAGCTGAAGTTAAACAAAGCCCCTAAGCGAGATTGTACAAACTTCCCTGAGCGGCTCCAGGCGTGACCCCTGTGCGGGTTAATAGCTGGTGCCCTGGGAGCCACCTTGGCTTCAGTACAGATCTTCAAAGGGACATGACAAAGTGACTTTTCAACCATTATTGATTTATATGATTCCTTTCATTTTCAGCCAACCAAACACGATTCTGTGACTGGGATGCCAAGGTTGTTCCAGCCCAAAAATAAAGAACAATTGCTCTCACTGCCCGCTCGCCCTCAGTCAACCGGACCTTGGTCCCCCCTGAGCGGCTTTCTGGGTCTTGCACCAGTTTTGCTGACAAATGGCCCATGGTGCTAGGGGACAATGCTGTGGTACAGTAAGCTCTGGGGTATGTGCAGTCATCAGTCACTTGCTGTGCCTCAGTTTGCCAAGAGAGCAGCAGAGCCAGGTCAGCCCAGCTCCATGGCGATGTTTAACTGATCCGAGTGAGTGCTCAGTTACCCAGGGCAGGTACGGGTCGTGTTTCTGGCATCTCAAAGGGATCCTGCTTTGCCCAGCCAAGTGCTTCGTGTCCTTCACCCTCCCCACCTCTCTCCACTGCAGGTGTCCAACTGGTTTGGCAATAAGAGAATCAGGTACAAGAAGAACATTGGGAAGTTCCAGGAGGAAGCCAATCTCTACGCGGCAAAGACGGCCGTGACTGCAGCGCACGCCGTGGCCGCGGCTGTCCAGAACAACCAGACCAACTCCCCCACCACACCAAATTCTGGTACGTACCTGCCTGCTGCCTTCAGCCTCCTGCAGGGCCCCAACGTGCCCTAGCGAGCTCGGTCGGGATGAGGAGGATGCAGCTCCTTAGCAGAGCCAGTCCTGGCACAGGGGGTAGTCCTGAGCCAAGGATGGCCAGGCTGCACCACGGGGGCTGAGCCCTGCCGTGGGTGGTCCCAGCTGCTCCACAGCCAAGCTCCCACAGCCATGGGACAGCAGAGTGGGGCCCGTGTAATTCCTGCAGCGGTAACGGCTGCCTGGCTCTGCCTTCTGGCACCTTCTTTGTTTCTGTAGTTACTTTAAGCTTTTACTCGTTCACTGAAAAGAATGTAAAATGGGGCAGAGGTCCAAGTCTCGTTTTGTAGGACTGTTAAATTTATTGTCAAGATAACAACAAAATAGAAGAATATTTTAGCATGCTCTAATTAGAGTTTAAACTCTGGATGGCCTGAAATGGAGTTGATGTTAGAAATCTGAGGATGGAACTTTAGTTTGGAGTTACTCTGTGACATGTTCTGCTACAGGTCTCACTGGTGTGCTGATGACATTTTGCAAGTCTGAGCACTGCATTAGTCAGGGAGTTTGTGAGGGAGGCATTGCTCTTTTGGGCTACAGGGGCAAAGGTTGCCACAAGCACAAACACTATTTGCAGTCAAGTTTTGCTGTGACTTAGTTGTAGACAACTAAGAGGATAGAGAACCACGGGGAAAAAAAAGACTAAATAAAAGCAAGTAAGAAAAAGGTTCCATCTTTAACAATAATAAACCACATAATTGGGAACTGCCAAGCATTTCCTTTGGAAGGAGACAGGAGACACAAAGCACGGGCTCAAAATGAGTGTTTGGTGATGGCACCTCATGATGGAGCAATCCACAGAGGGACAGCTCTGACATGGAAACATTGCTGTACAGGCTGCTCTTCCAGAGGGAAGAGCTGCCCTGGGCTGCAGGGAGCTTCCAGGCTTGCCCAGCGCAGCGCTCTGGGGCTGAGAGCCGGGATCTGGTGGCTGCTGTGGGGTCCGGTGGCCACGCTCACCCCACGCCAGGGCAGCAACTTCCCCTCCACTGCGCCTTGCCTGTCCTCTCCTGTCCTGCTGCTTCTCCTTCCCCTGCCCTCAGGTCTCGGGGTTATGTTTTTGCAGCTCTCTGTTATTCAGCTACCTAACTCTTTCCTTTCCAGGTTCTTCTGGTTCTTTTAACCTCCCAAATTCTGGGGACATGTTCATGAACATGCAGAGTCTGAATGGGGATTCTTACCAGGGGTCCCAAGTCGGAGCCAATGTGCAGTCACAGGTAGGAGAAATGCCCCCAGCAGGGCCTTTCTGGCAGGGTAGGGTTTGGGCTAAAAATTCCACCTTACTCTGGCTCTATTAACTGGTCTGGGCCTCGCTGCAGAGTGGAGGCTGCATATTTCTGGATGTGGCCTATTCTTACCCCGGCATTGAATTTCACA